CCAAAACCCCATGGTTCATTTATCTAGAAATTCTTGATTAAAAAATAGATATAATTGAAGCGGATATTGATTATATACAAATAAACTTATGAAAATTCATTCATTCAAACTTTCAGCCAGCTTTTGCAAGCCTTGATTTACTTTAAGATAAATTCTTGCTTAAATTAGGATACAAAACTATTTATTTCTAAAGTCTTAGACTCATTTATATTTAATGATCTTAAGTTTGCCCTTGCCAGCAGTCGTGATCTTATTGTTGCTCATTGCAGTCCAGTTTGGCACATTGCTAGATTAAATCTAGTTTTAGACCTATTAATACTGCTGCTATTAGAGTTGATTTTACTATTGCTGCTGCATTAAATACTATTGATGCTGGATTAGCTTTTGATTATTTTGCTGCTGCTACTATTGCTACTAATAAAGAGCTTATTGCTGACTCAGTTGATTTTACTGCTAAGTTGTGTGACTACCCGTAGAACTCGTGCTTATCAAATTTTGAATTTATTGATTAAGTATCATCTGCTGATTAATCATTTACTGAGCAGTAGGGGTCTTAACTTTAGGCTATTGAGAGGCTGAATTATAGCTTACTGTAGCAGAAGCTAACTAGATTCCTGGAGGATTCATAGGTTTCTTTTTCAGTTATTGGGTTTAATTCAAAGTTTGTTTCTAAGTATTGGATTGCAGACTGTTCAACTACACTCCAGCGTCATTTGATAATCTTTAAGTAAGTAGCATTTTTTTGTTGCTCTTCTTTTGGGCTGTGCCTCCTAACCCTGAGATATCAGTTTTCACCTTAGGAGAAGCCATAATCGGACCAGCTGGTTTTCTTGTCTAGGAATTATTAGTACTGGCTCTGTTTCCACCACTACTCAATCTGCTAGTGCTTGACTTTTTAGAAGTTAATGTATTTTGATTCTAGGCCAAAGCAGTAGGCCTAGTGGTTCTCTGTTTACTTAGTTTTTGAATGCCAATATTCATTGTCTACATCAGTCTTTGATTAAGATCTAACCCTTTGAACTATTTGCTAACTGAAGTTTTCGGTCTTTTACTTTCCTATGTAACATTTTATGACTGATTGCCACTGATTGAGTTATAATTAGCTGTGCTAGTTGCATTTCTACTGTACCCACCGTTTGAACTAATACCAATCTTTGGATTGATTGAACTATTATTCTGGCTGCTCATGTAGCTACCTCCACTGACTGGGGGTTTTGTAGTGATATGATTTAAATTTTGATTATTTGTAAGTTTCACATTATTCTGATTATAACTTTACTGCAATTGCTGCTAAATATATGACTACTACTGCTATTACTGCTATTGTTAGCTTTGAAACATTTACTAATGATGTTGCTGATTTTAGAAAATTTGTTGCTATTGCTGATGATTATATTAATTTTGACTGTTACTGTTGTTATAACTTTAAAGTTATTAGGGCATGAAGTTGTATTTGCTATTGAGCTCTTAGATCTATTCTTACTACTAAAGATGCATTTACTAGAGAGCTTAAGCATTCATAGTGTTTTATGAAAATTTCAAGGCTAAGCTATGCGAAGATGGTGACTCCTAAGATATTTGAAAGTTTTACTGTTGTTATTATTAATGATGATGTAATTGCTATGACTGTGCTTGATATTTTTGTGACTTATTTGATACCTGAGCAGAATGAATAAACTAAGCTTAGTCATCTGGTTCTATCAAGTCTAAATCCAAGTCAGGAGGTATCTATCGTTTCTTAACCTTTATTTTACTTCCATTACCTTAGGTATCAGATAACTGCTGCTACGCTGTATAGAAGTTAATAGGTGTATTTTGAAAATGAGTGCCTGGTCCAGTACTCGTCTGAGGTCTGCTTGCATTTCTAGAAGTATTTCTACTTTAGGAATACTTTGCCTATGTATTGTAAGCTCTGATTATCTGATGGTAATTAACTTAGTCATTCTTGATCTCATTCAGAGGTCTGACAACTTTAAGTTCTTCAAGAAGTGGCTCATCTTCAGGGATAGTTGTCATTGCTGGCGAGTGATGCTTTTGATAGCTCATAATAATGTGACTTACAAGAGGACATTCACTAGGTAGAAAAGTGCCACTGGTTTCGAGAGCTTAAGCATGCCACATTTCACTATCAGCTTTTGTGAATTTCTAGTCAGGGTCTGGAATTTCTCCGTATACCTATTTACTAGGCTTTGGGGCTGATTCCTTGCTTGCCTAAGCACTTAAAAACCTTAATTCGGTGCCAACACAAAAGTATGATACCGACAATAGGATTATTTTTTCAAGCATGGCATCTCTGCTAAGTTCATGACTGTTGTCAATATGTAGATTAAGTTCTTCAAGACTCATAGGCAGCAGATGCATGACATTACCTATGTTGAGATTGAAAATCCAATCATCTTGCTCTTTTACTCCAAGAATTGTCTTCACATTATTCCTTAACTGAGTAAAATAGGTACTTGACTGAGGCTCTCCATCCTAGCCTTTTGTATTGTAGTAGGTGCTCTCATTCAGCTGAATCTTCTTCTTTTTCTCAAGCTCCTCAGGAACTAATTCATCAGTCTTAAGTTTAATTTGTTTTTACTGCTGTTACTAGGATTGAGGATTCTAGAGTTAGACAGTTGGCTTTTAGGATTTAATCTGAGTGATATAGGTGTTCTTCAATTTGTTATAGTTGCTATTATGAGTTGTATTTGGAATGTTAGCATTGGATGAAGCATGCATGTATAGTTTTTGCGTATTGTAGAGGGGTCCTTAGAACTAGCAATCTTAAAGCACTGAGTAATCTTCAATGACCATTCCAGATTTGTCAACCACCTTTTGAATTTTATTATATGTGTTGAAGTGATCAATCTATGAAAGCATCTCAGTTAAAATGGGTTCGCAATTAGTGATCAATAGATTAAGTATTCTTTCATTTTCTTCCACATAGTAGCTAGTCCTCTTGCCCAAGAAGTCTTTATCACTTTCAGTCATGCTTTTATCGTTATTATTGCTGCTCATAAAGTCACTTCCAAGTTCATTTTCAATGTCCTTAAGCACATTATTGGTGTTCTGGGAAGGGGACTTGCTGTTTTTCTCCATTAAAAGCCTCTATATGTAGCTCTTGCAAAGTAGTAGAGTGTTTCTAATAAGTTCCTAACAGAAGTAAGAAGCCATTTGGCCATGATACAAAGCTTCTTGGTGTTTATTAAGCTAACTCAAGACTGCACAAAGTTGCAAATGACATTTACACATGTATCTTAGCTTGAAAAGTTTACTCGAAATGTTAAACTTTTTTGTAGTTTCGAATACATTCTGCTGAGTAGGCGACTAGAGAGTCATGGAATTGAGATTCTCTCGAGATTGAACTGATGTCTGTGATTGTAAGAGATTGTTTCCCTGGTTTTACTGCTAAGCTTAAGTCAGCATTAGCTGAATTATAGATTCATTATCATCAAAATTTGTGACTTTGGCTTCTAAGTTGTAGATAGTACCATCTAGGTAACTAGCTGAATCTTCAAGCATACTCATTCTATGAAAAAAATGTTAAAAAATGAGCGTAAAGATAAATTTATAGCTCTAACAAATATCCAAACCCAGAAGACTTAAGTATAAAAAAGCAAGATAATTCGAAATTACCAAAATCAAACAATCTTCCACATCTTCTTTGTTTGTTAGATTATTGTGATTAGAAAACTTATCAGTACATTACCTTTAGTATGTGCAAGCTAAGTTATATAAGATGACAATAATGAGATTTCTGTCTACGTCTTTACCCTCAGCAGTAACTGCCTCTAATAGTTACTCTCCTCTTTTAAGACACTCTAAGGAGTTTTCGTTATCTTCGTTTTTAAGTGCCTATATTGCGGTATCGTTAAGTTCGGTCAACAGCTGCTGAATGTCTTCATCTATTCGCATTACGCATTAATATTTGATAAGTATTTTACCTTTATCAATATTTAGACCGTCTAAACTTTCATCATCATCGTCCTCTTCATCATCTTCATCCTCATCTCCGTTACTCTGGAAATCTTCATCATCGTTCTTAATTCCATCTTAGTCATTGTTGCTTTATTAATCTTCTTCCTATTTTCTTTTCATAAGAGGACGACCAACTAGATCTTCAATCGCATTCATCTAAAAATTTATGCTCTCAAATCTGATTAACTTGTTTTGAATTACATTTGCTTGCTTGGAAGAGCTATCAGTATTTTAAATTCGATCTTTATTCATGCTAGTTCTGTCTATTTCCAAGTTTTCTTTTCTGTTAGCCATTAAATATAAATAATTAAATTGAAATTTTTTCTTAAGCAATCTAATCACTCGTTGTGGGGTTTTGGGGTTTTGGGGTTTTGGGGTTTTGGGG